GGTTGGGGTAGGGCAGGGAAATTATAGGCAGAAGACAGTGGTCTGAACAAAGAACCGTGAGGAGCGTGTATGTTAAGGCACTGGGTTTATATCATGTTGTTTGTTTTCCTCAAGACTCCTTCTTTGAACGTGAGCTTCCAGGGCTGGTTCCTGGGGTATGTGTGAAGAATCTGGTAAAGATCTTTGAGCCTGGTACCCGACCAGCAGTGGACCGTCTAAACATTACCTTCTATGAGAACCAGATCACCGCCTTCCTGGGTCACAATGGAGCAGGGAAAACCACCACCTTGTGAGTTTTCTGGCAGAGACCACACCACCCTGCCATTTTTTGGCTTTGTTCTTCCCCTGTTAGCTGCAATCTACTCTTTCTCACTGAGTTTTACTGACAAAATTCACTTTATATTTCTGGCCCTGAGAATTTGTAAAGGATATTTCAATAGTCAAAGCTCACTCACATTTTGGTTTTAATTTGATCTTCCTAAGAAGCAACAAGAGGGAAACAGAGTTAGTTTAGTGCTTGCTTTGTGTGTCAGGGAACTGGACATTTTAAGAGTTTAGGGGACTTTCCTGAAGCACTGAGTATAATGGTTACATGGTGACATGAGCCAGGTCATGCTGCCACAAACCACCTCTTGCTTCTAAAGCCTTGAGTACTCTCCCCTCTCCCCAGTCTCTTCAGCATCATTATCATCCATGATAGTAATAGTGTCATGGCCCTCGCCATCCCATGCCCCGGGTCTGTAGAGCAAGACTTATTTTTAAGGATTATTCCTTTTCCTGCCAGTTATTAGGTAGGTTTCAATATCAGCATGGGGCCCCCAATAAATGCTGGTCCCAGTTCTAGAGAAAGTACAAAGGACACAGTCTCTACATGGACCTGGGCTAGCAGCCTGGTAACTGAAGGCCAAATCCAGGCAAGACACAGGGCTGTGCATGAACCTCACACTTCTCTAAGTGGCCCAAGTGCCATCTGCTGAGGAGAACACAGCCACCAAGCTTTCCTATGCAGACCTCTCAGGACAACAGCCCATGTGATATGCAGTTTAAGTCCTTAGCTTTTTGCAGAGGCCCAGGAAGGAACAGCAAGTGTACACCCTACACAGGAATGTGCTCTTGGGCTGTTCAGTGTGAATGGAATGTGGGGCTGGTGCCATTATATTTGGTTCTGTTTCCCTCTAGTGGTTGAATGACAGAGATTCCAGCTTCTAAGTGTAAATTCAGATAGCCTGAGATTTTATCAGAACAGAGCTGGGTGTGGCGGCAGTAAATCATCTGATTTCTTTTCTTATTAACTAATATGGTCAGAGAGCTGGACATTTCATTCAGGCGGAACCCCAGGACTTCTCCCAGGCAAACACATTACTTCATCAGCAGCAGAAATGCAGCTTCCCCTGGGGTTGAAACAATGTTTAGTAATAATGGTAATAATATTTCTAAGTTTTACTTAATGATGGTGTTGTGCTAAATGCATCAAATGTATTAACTCTAATGCACATACCACCCCAGCACTTGGGGGCCATTATTTTCGATTATTTACAAAAAACATACAACATTGCTATTGGACTTTGGTACAATGAATCAAGATGTGCCAGCTTCTCACCTCATTAAGGCCTTCCTGGTCTTGTAATGGTGACACCTTAGCTTGTCAATATCAGCACCTGCTTACTGAGAATGCAGAGCAGCAAGCCATGCACCAAAAACCTTTGGTTGAGCTCCTCTGGCACCAGGATCTGAGGGCTGAATTAGAGCTGGGGGAGCTCAAGGCCTGCAAGTAAATGTTCTGAGGCTGAGAATCCCCAAAGTCCACTAGTGCTTGCCGGGGAGCTCCAGGAGATAAGGGGAAGCAGAGGGCCACATCTGCCTTCCTTCTCTGCTCCTCTGCATTAGGGCCTTGATGTACACACCGGTGCTAGTCTCTGTATGGGAAACTTTGGGCCCTGCTGCTAATGATGAACCTGAGTTCGATTTAGAGACATGAGCAGGAGTCACCGTGAGAGTCCTCACCCACACTGGTGGGGGGGCTGCTCTCCCAATGCAAGTTCCTAAGGACCATCTCTTCCACCCCTGCTCCTGCATTCTGCAGGTCCATCTTGACAGGTCTATTGCCGGTGACATCAGAAACTGTGCTCATTGGGGGAAAGGACATTGAAACCAGCCTGGATGCAGTCCGTCAGAGCCTCGGCATGTGTCCACAGCACAACATCCTGTTCCAACAGTAAGAAAAACAGATGAGATGCTTCCATCTCCCATCCTCACTCCCGCCCCAGCACATATATTCTCTAAAGTCTCGCCCAGCGTGCCTGGTCTGGGTACATGAGGTGATGCTCTTAGCTTGTGTCCCCTTTGTTCAAGGTTCTTGTCTGGCTTGCACTGAGAATTGTCCCTCTGAACATGGGACTGTGCCTTTGGTGTTCAGAGTTGAGGTCTCTCCCCTCAGAAGAGTGACACTCTTTTCTTTATGACAGTGGCTGGGCCCCCTGCTCAGCCCTGAAGTATTTCCCATCAGGGACCACAGAGAGGAGAACCTGGTTCCTTTTCCCCTAAAACAGGGCACTAAAGATTGACTTTCAGTTTCTTTTCTTTTCCTATTTTTTGCAATGAAAGTATATTTTATTTCTTATCTAAAAATCTATATATAGTCATGTGAAAGGAAGGGAGGGACAAAGAAAGAAAAGATAGCTAAACAAATCGAAGAAAATAAAAGTCACCAGTAATTTCAGCACTCAGAGACAGCCACTGTTAACACCTTGGTATATAATTTTTCAAAACTTTCTCTTACACATGCATAGATATACATATATTCTTTGAAATTACAAAGAAGAACAAAACTATGCATGTAATTTTCTAACCTGACATTTTAAAAAATGTGATGGCTTTTTCTTAAGCTAAGATATGAATATCTTTTGATGACATTACATATTCCTTTAAAAATTAACTTGCAATGTTCTCATACTATGCCATTAAATGAGTGCACTATTAAGCCAAGCTCTCTAATAGATACTTAGGCCAGATCTGGTGTATGTTTTGCATTTGTATCAGGAACAATACCTCAATGAACTTGTAGCATCTTGATTGCTGCATTTTGTTGGTCATCTTGAATTATTTCTATAAAAAATAAGTTACTAGCAGTCAATTGCTGAGCCCATTGCTTTCCTTGTTCTGTCCTGGTAGCCTCACAGTGGCTGAGCACATCCTCTTCTATGCCCAGCTGAAAGGCAAGTCCTGGGAGGAGGCCCAGCTGGGGATGGAAGCCATGTTAGAGGATACAGGCCTCCACCACAAGAGGAATGAAGAAGCACAGGATCTTTCAGGTGCTTGGTGTTGGAAGGTGATAGGGCCAAGGATGGCACATCCATTGCTTCTCAGTGCACCTAGGAGGCCAGGGTTGGAGAAACTGGAGGAATTGGGGTGGGAGTGGGGGTGGGGTGCTTGTAACAGGAAAGCACCTAAGAGTTGGAACACTCTGTGAAGCTACTCTGACAATCTAAGAGCAGCTGCCCTTGGATCATTTGCCACATGGAATTCTGTCTTGCAGTCAGCCTGGACTTTATTTGTTCTGATGTTTATATGTTTGAACTAAAGTGTGAGAAGAGAAGTCTTCCAATGATCAGGTTCTTAGCAGTAAGGGTCTTTTTTGCATTTACAAGGCTTCCCCTCAACTCCAGTAGAGTTCTGAACTCTCTCTAGACCTCTCAGGAGACAGCATCAAACCCCTGCCAGATTTAAGGTGCCCCCATATGCTGGCATCAACCCTGGCCTTTTCTCTTCCTGGGCTTTTTCTCTTCTTTTTTTTCTCTTTATCCTCCCTGTAACCCCCCATCCTCCTGGGCCTCCAGGTGGCATGCAGAGGAAGCTGTCCGTTGCACTTGCTTTTGTGGGAGATGCCAAGGTGGTCATCCTGGATGAGCCCACCTCTGGGGTGGACCCCTACTCCAGACGCTCCATCTGGGACCTGCTCCTGAAGTATCGCTCGGGTAACAGCCACTGCTCAGTGCCTGGTGCTCTCACTGGGGGCTTTCCCTGTGGGTCCTGCTCTCTCATCCCTGGTGTTTTGCAGCTGAGTATACTAACAGCCATAACCACACTCAGGTGGGCTTTATCTATGAATTGAAGTATGAGTTAAAACTTCCTGAGATTTTTAATAAATAAAAATGGAGTCACTTGTCACATTCCATGATGAAACACTCAGGATCACTCCAAGTGAACTGGGCTGCATGAAATAATCACACAAGAGACAGAGATACCTTTTTCTTTGGGTCCTGTGACAGCTCCTCTGACCTTAAGGGTCCATGGAAAGAGAGAAAGAGAGCACATGCTGAACCTTTTTATTGGGCAGAAGGCATTCAAATGAGGCAAGGGATCAGGTTTCAGGGGGGTTGAGTCTAGCTTCATGATGTCTGCTGTCAGCACATTGACATCTAGGAAGGCCACACCCAAAGGCAGAGCAAGAGAAGGGGACACACAAGGGGAGTTTCCATGGAACATTCTATCCCAAACAGGGCAAAGGGGTAGGATTACAAAAGAATATGAGAGTGTAGCTTAACCCCAGGGTTATGCCTACTCAGAAGACTGGACTTGCTATCTGAGGTTGGGCGGTGGGGGGGGGGGGGGACAGAGTCACGAGTCATGGTACTACAGCACCAGACTGCAGTGATCTTTCAGATCCCCGTGGTGCATCAGGACTGGAAGGCGTGGAACTCAATGTGGTTCCCCACAGTCACTAGTCGCACTCAACTTCCCAAAATATTCTAGAAACCTATCTCAACCTCTAGTCCTTCTGTCTGGAACATTGGGTGCAGCTCTAAATGAAATTCCCATCTAGTGAAGGAGACTTGTACAAACAAAAATAAGCTCCCTAGCTGTCAGTTGACCACTGGGAACCAGGTGCCAGGGCAGTGTGCTGGTGGGTGCTGCGGAGGGACATGTCTCAGAATGGGACCTGTTCATCCCTGTCCTGGCACCTTCCAAAGGGCTCAAATTCAGAAGAGACAGCAGGCAGGGCTCAGAGTGCCCATTAAGATGACAGTGTGGCTGGGCACGGTGGCACACACCTATAATCCCAGTGACTCAGGAGGTTGAGGCAGGAGGACCATGAGTTCAAAGCCAGCCTCAACAACTTAGTGAAGCCCTAAGGAACTTGGGGAGACCCTGTCTCAATGAAATACAAAAAATCATCTGGGGATGTGGCTCAGGGATTAAGCGCCCTGGGTTTGATCCTCTGTACATGGCGAGTTGGGGATGGGAGACAGTGTGTTTCAACCCTGTGTGAACTCAAGATCTACCCTCTGTTTGCGTTGTATTTCCACAAGCCATCCTAAAATTCTCGTTATTATTTTATTTTAATGACATCATCTCCAATTAAGAAAAGTGTGTTTGTGTGTGTTCTTTACAAAGATTATCAGTGCAATGCTTAATGATCCAGAGAATGTACACATGGAACTTGGATGCTGACTGACAGTAATGAATGTGTCCCATGCATGGTGATTTATTTGAATTAAGCCCTGTGCCTGATGAAGAAATATGTATGTGACAATGCTTTATGGTGTGCAGTTGATATCATTATTATTTCTAATGTCCTGGAGGAATTAGTACCTGTTTTTATTTGTTATCTCCCAATTTTCACCCTGGCCAAGGACTGTCCAATGATTCCCCTGCCCTGACCCCCCTGCAGGCAGAACCATCATCATGTCCACTCACCACATGGACGAGGCAGACCTCCTTGGCGACCGTATTGCCATCATCTCCCAGGGAAGACTCTACTGCTCGGGCACGCCACTCTTCCTGAAGAACTGCTTTGGCAAGGGCTTCTACTTGACCTTGGTTCGCAAGATGAAAAACATCCAGAGTCAAAGAAGTGGCTGTGAGGTACATGTCTTCCTGGGAAGGAGCCCATCCTGGGTGAGAGGGAACACAGGGCAGGGGGCGGCCACTCCAGACATTTCTACCCACTGGAGCCCTAGCTGTCAGAACCAGCTTCTTTGTTTCTGAGACCATTTGCAGGAGATTTTGATAATTACGTCCTGAACCCCCTCCTACAGAGGTGTGTCTCCCAAAATAAAACAACTAGTTTTAAAAAACTGAAATGATTTCGCACCAATATCCCAACCTGTGGATAGGTGGTTAGATGCAACCTGGAAGCATCTTATCCTGCAAAGTTGAACTGCTTGAAGAGTTATGAGCTGGGGATGTAGCTCAGTGATACAGTACTTGACAAATACGTATAAGGCTTGTGGTTCAATCCCTGGGACTGCCCCACACCTCCCAAAAATAGTAGATGTTTAAAGCTTCCTTTTTTAAAAAATTTTTTTTTAGTTGTATATGAACACAATACCTTTATTTTATTTATTTATTTTTATGTGGTGCTGAAGATCAAACCCAGTGCCTCATACTTGCAAGGCAAGTGCTCTACCCTTAGCCACTACCCCAGCCCTGAAACTTCCTTTTTTAATCCCCAAAATTCACATTTCCTAATTAAACCTGAATTCCAGTAATAAATGAAAGCTAAGGAAACTCTCATTGGGAACTGTAACCTAAAATTGATGAAGCAATCTGGGCATGGTGGCACATGCCTGTAATCCCAGTAGCCCAGAAGGCTGAGGCAGGAGGATTGCAAATTCAAAGCTAGCCTCAGGAATTTGATGAGACCCTGAGCAACTTAGCGTGACTCTATCTAAAAATGAAAACATAAAAAAGGACTGGGGATGTGACTCAGTGCTTGAGCACTACTGGTTTCAATCCCTGGTACCATAAATAAATAAATAGATTTGTGAAGGGGAAAAAAATGCATAACCTGCAGAGACCACTTAGCATGTTAGGAGACCTTGATCCAGAAATGGGCTGGGAAGTGTACAGACTGTATCATGGGCAAATTACTTAATTCCTTGTTGTTATTTTTCCCTACATGGAAAATGTAACTAATGATCTCTGCTGCTGCTTCTTAGGGATGTAGTGGAGATATATGAGATAAGTTATTATGAATGTGCTCTGGGCTTCTTGAGAACAAACATTGCTCACATTCAAATTGTCACAAGCATTATGTTGTAGGATTATTTATGCCTGTAGTTAAAGTGTCTAGCTGCTGTGAATTTCCCATCTTGGGTAGATTTCCACAGACCAGTGCATGTCCATGGGGAGGGAGGAACAGAATGTGAGCAGAACCTACAGCTGTCACTTGATTAATGATAAGCCAAAGAGATCCTTTGAGGTTCTGCTTCTCCCTGACTCACACACTCTCCAAGGTAAAATATAGTGGCTACACCCTCAAAATGCTCCAGTGAATTAGTAGGTTAAACAGTGCAGGAAAAAACATAATTGGTGGTGAGAAACAAACCAAGCAGGTGGTGACAGCTCTTGGCATCAGAGAGATGCTATTGTTGAAGTGATGTGTACCTTGTCAGTCATTCCTGTCCATCCATTGTAGGGCACCTGCAGCTGTGCATCTAAGGATTTCTCTGTCAAGTGTCCAACCCACATTGATGAGATAACTCCAGAGCAAGTCTTGGATGGTAAGGGCTGGGGAAGGCTATGTATTTCCATTTTAGTCTAGTGATCATCACCTGGTGTTGCTGGGGGTGTCCTGTCATGTTGTACTAGAATGGGAGCAAAGAGAACATTTGTACTTCTGGAGGGCTGGGAAGGGGGCGTGGGGGCAAGGTCATGCAATTGCTCATCTTTTTATTTTTTAGCTTCTTTCTCCTCTTTCCTCCATTCTCCATGGCATTTAAAAATCATGCACCACTCTCTCCCTTTAATGAGGAATTCCGTATGTTCACTCT